ATGCCCGCTAGCTGACACCGACCGGGCGGAGCCCAACCCTCGGAGGTTCGCCTCCCGCTGCCTGACCCAGGCGGCTCCACCGGGTTGGGAACCCTGGAAAGTCGAGGACTGTCTCCCACGGGCTGGGACCTTCATTCAGCCGGACTCCTCAAGACCTTGTTTTGGACTCATTGGCCCGGCCCGGCCCCCCTCGACCGCCGGTTCCCTGCCAGTCGGCCTCCCTTGTAGTCCCCTTATTCTGCCTTTTAGGGTTCGTAGTGGAGGAGGAAAGCCCCCGCCCCGCCAGCTGCCCGGAGAAATGAGGGCAGCTGTAGACCGGAAGGTATTCAGCCCGAGTAAACAACATATGCAAAAATCACAGCGAGTGCAAGAGTGAGGTTCTTGAAGTAGCAAACATTTATTTAATTCCTATTTGCCAATCCTGAGCTAGGGGCCTGGGAATACAAAGTTAAGTAAAACAAGATTCTAGTCTTCTAGGCACTACCGGTCTTGGAAAGGGAGGCAAACAGGTCACCTGGCAATTTCAATACTTTGTGGGAGTTACAATACTGGAGGTAGACACAGAGTGCAGTGCAAAAAACGAAGGGCATGAACATCTGCTGCCTACTTTTGTGTCAGGCACTCTATCACCTTTATTCCATTTAATTATTCACTGATAGTTATGAGAGATAGGTATAGAGATCCCCACTTACCACGTGAGGAAAAGGCTCAGGGAGATGAACTTAGTTGCCCAAGGCTCTCCACTAGTCTGTATTAGAAGCAAGAATCAAACAGGTTTGGCTTCAAAATTCTAGGACTTTAGTACTATACCAAAATCAACCAGCTTCAGGGAGTCAACAGTTCACAAGAGAAGGTGGCTTCTAAACTGAGTCTGGAAAGAATCCTTGACATCAATCAAGCAAAGGGGAGTCAGGGGTAGTGTTAAGGGCAAGGAATATCTTGAGCAAAAGTGAAAGAATATACGTATTTGAGGGAAGAGTAGGGGAGGATAAACAAATTGTTACTCAGGAACAAATATCAAGGAAGGGGTCAGGTTTGTGAGTCATGATAAAAAGCCTAAACTTTATCCAATAATCTTTGAAGGGTCTTAATCAAGTAAATGACTTGATGTGATTTTCATTTTATCTCTGGAAGATGGTTTAGGAAAGGGCAGGAAGAAAGGTCACTTTTTGCAAGAGCCTACAATTCAAAGGAGAGAGAACATGGCTTTAAGCTAATGTAGTAGCAGTGGAGGTGGAGTGAAGTAGATGAGTTCTAGATATACATAGGAAATATAACTGGCAGGACTTGTGGATTGATAAAGATACATTTAAGAGGTAAAGTCAGCAGGACTTGTTAATTGAAGCTGGGGGGAGGTGATGGAAATGGGAGTCTAGAATGACACTTAGCTCTCTGGCTTGGTTGGAAAAAGCATAGTATATTTATCATGAAGAAATGAAAGGATTGGGAAAGAGGAAGAGAGATGAAGTGTTGAGAACTGCACATCTTGCATTTGAGGTATCAATCACTGTTGGATAGAAAGTCTGATTTAGTAAGATGGTGATGGCTGTGCATGCCAATCATTGATTTGTTCCAGGGGACAATGGATAGTGAGGAGAACAAAAGACTAAATAAGGATGCAGTAGTGAAGTACATCAATGAGGAAGCAGAGAAAGAGAAGGAGGAAGAGGGAATGGTCAGAAAAGAAGTTAAGCCCTAGAAGCTAAGGAAAGAGAGGGAGTGGGCAACTGTGACAGAGGGCCATAAAGTAAAGATTGGGAGGAGTGCACTTAATGAAGCAGCAGGGAGACCATTGTTTCTGTGTCAGGGGAGGAAAGAGTAAAAAAGTGAGAACTGAGGTCTTATTGAAATGAACTGAGATGCAAACACAAAGTAAAATCGTGTACACAGACAGTGTAGACAACCCTTGGGAAAAGCCTGGTTGCAAAGAGAAAGAAGGAATGGGGGGTGGGGTGTGCTCCCAAACACTACTGGTTATAACATATGTAGAGGAACCTGTGGCAGGAGCAGGGAGGCCTAGATGATGGAGCAGGGTAGGGTTGGGAGTCAAGTCATGCTCACAGCACTTCAGGGTTAGGGATGTAAGCTGTCTGCAGCAGTCAACAGGCGAGGGGTCAGCAGGGCTTCCAACAGTGCAGAATAAGGAAACAAGCTACCAGCTGTGGGGCAGGGGATGGGCCTCTCTCCCACCAGGAGAGGGTCAAGGGTTGATTAATGTCTTCAGCAAAGCTGGGAAGTTGGGTGTTCCCCAGCCTGTCACAGGATCCCAGCCAGGGCCCGAGCAGAAACCCTGACCCTGCACCTCTTCATTCAGACAGGACTCATGGCAGCCACGGGTTACCTAGGGATAAGGTGGGCATCAGATCTGGGCCTGCTGGTACCAATACTGACAGATTCTACCCCCTCACCCTGTATTCAGATCCCAGAGACTATCCTACCCCATCAGAACTGCTCGAAGGTTTATCTTAGCACTCCCCATACTCTTATGAAAAGGTTCACACAACCACCCTTCCACACTCACATCAAAGAGTCCTGCCCCATGCTGCTGGTAGAGCCTTGGATTGAGAAAGCCAAGAGGGGGGCGGCCATTGAGGATTCTGTGTTCATTTATCAGGGATAGGATCCCTCCAAACACTGGAGTAGAAGCCTGCAAGGGTGCAAGTAATTGGATTTTTGGGGAAGGGATGTTTGAAAGGATCAGAGGTCTCTGAGAAGTCAGGGGTTCTGGGCACAAGGTCTTGTGGGGTACAGGCTGAGGGTAGTTCCTGAAGGTTTGAGGCCAGGCTGATTCTCACCGAGGTGCCAGACACCCATGGAATAGGCACGCGGTTGCTGACCACCCAATAGCCATCAGAGAGCGCAGCCACATCTGGGTAGGCACGTCCACTGGCATTGAAGTAACTGGATGGTGGCAACTGGGGGCTGGAGCTCAGGAATTTGGCTACAGCTTCCTCCTGAAAAGCATCGTTGAGTGAGTACATCTTCTGAACTGAGGATTCCTGACCTCCCCGACTCCATTCCCATCCACCCACATAAACATACACGTACCTGGTATGAAGGTCGTGGGAACACATTGCTGAAGCCGCCGCCACTGATATAGTCAACAACCTCACTTGTGACTCGGAAAGGATTCTTGAAGGACGTGCCTCCCACCGTGGTCACATAAGGGCTGAGGGCAGAAGACAGCACTCAGATTTTAGGAGTCTTAAGGGTGCCTCCAAAATGGATGGCGATGGCCTGGGTGTTGCTGGAGGGGCTGGACTCTGTGGGAAGCATGTAGGTGGCGATGACTGAGGTTTTGAGCCCCGAAGGCTTGGCTGAGGTGACTGCATACTTTTCCTAACAGAACACTCACCATATCTTCCACTAAAATGCCTGGGACCTGAGAAAGAGAAACACTGGGAGCTGTGTCCTACTCAGGAGACATGGGGCCTGGGACCTACCAGAAGAAGAGGGGAGTTCAGCAACCAGGGCATGTAAAGCTGAGGCTGAGCTGTAGGAGCACCCGGTGGGGTCAAGACAAAGGTTTTCCAGATCATCAGGTCACAGATGAAAGGTTGGTGGTCACAGATAAGTGGTGAGCTGGGGTGCTTACCTGGAGGCAGGAAAGCTGGGACGGAACTGGTGTCTTCCAGAGGTAGACCAACACCCGGCCCCACTGTCACCTGAGAGAGATCAAGTTTAGCACTCAGATTAATTGGTCAGAGCTTGGTATGTAGGTTTGGCTGTCGGAGAGGAATTCAAGAGTTAGTCCTTAGTGCAAGAGGTCAGAGTTTAGAGGTCAGGTCAGTGGCCCCTGTTCAATTCAGAGTATGAGTCAGAGATCAGGATCAGGGGTCACTGTGGGGTCAGAGTTCTCAGTTGGGTGGGTGGGTGGGTTG